TGGCCATGTATTTACTAGGCAAAATAATGAGTTAGTAATAATAGCGATAAAAGGAACCAGTATGGAATTAAATGGACCAACTACTAAACGTGACAAAATTAATGTTTGTTTTTTATAAAATTTCATTTTAATTATCATTTCCTAAAAGTTTTATAATGATGCTTTTTTTAAAATCAATTTTGATCTTAATTTGTTAGGATAACTTATTATTTTCATGTTGTTGTGCCAAAGTTGATCGTACCTGGTCTGGTGTATGTGATTGTCATCGTGGCAATTACAATTGTGATATTGACTGTTTACAAGAGAGTGTTGATAAAGAATCGGATGAATCATTATATTACAAAGTTGTTTTGGTAAATCATTTGTCTCTTTTTTAATTGAAAAAAAAATTTTTTCTTTGATAATTAATTGTTATTTACTTCTAATATTTTATTTTTTCCATTCTTGCTTTAATTATCACAAAAAGAATCTTTTTGATAATATGGCTTCTGAATTTCAAGATTCAAAAGTATGGTTAATTGGCCATTCTCTTGGTGGATCCTTGGCCTCATTACTAGGATTAACTCATGGCTTGCCAGTGGTTGCATATGAGGCACCTGGGGAAAGACGAGCTGCAAAAAAATTACATTTACCGGGACCTCCAGCTGTACCATATGAACTATTACCTATTTGGCATATTGGTCAAACTGCTGATCCTATTTACATGGGTCTTTGTAATGTAATAGTCAAATAATTATTAGTTGAATTTTAAAGTCTTTGTTATTAATAATCATCTTTGATATATCAATATATATATTTTTATAGGGGATTACAAGTTGGTGCTATCTTGGTGGATATGCAGTAAGTTATGGATGTTTATTTTTCTTAATATCTAAAATTTTCTAATAAATTTCTTTTGTTTCAAATTAAAAAAAAAAGATGGAAACAAAATGTCATGTTGGAAAAGCATGTGTATTTGATGTAGTTGAGAAATTAAAATGGGGTGTGCGATATTCTAGAAAGGCTAGGATTTATAAAAAACATAATAATAGCAAAATAAGTTGCTTTCAAATCACTACTGCGTTTCCATTTCCAAAGCTATAGGCTCCAATTGATTTTCAAAATGTAATGGGCTCAAGACCAAATAGAGTAGAACAAAAAAACTCTTTGTAATTATAAAAAAAATGCACACCATCTACTACTACCACAGAAATTCTGTCAATCACGCCCAACATTAGATGAATAATGAAGCTATCAGTAATTATTATTATTATTATAATAAAAATAGGTATTAGTATGGGAAATCTCTAATGACCATAACATGGCGCCTATCCTTAAATTAGTTAATTTTTTAATATTGTATCACAAAACAAAAAAATGATTTTTCCAAAAATTATACGTTCAACTTTCATTTTCAAACTATAATAGTAATATTTCACCAAAATTATTAGCAGCTTCAAGGAGTGTCTCTGCTAGTTATAGTATCATGTCTACTATTTCAACATTGAAAGAAGAAATAAATACATGGTCTTCATCTACGCCATCAGACAAAATTTCTAATTCGATTATTCCTTTAACTACAATTAACGTTGAAGATGAAATACATAGAACTGCAATCAAAATTTTTCAACAATCAATAGATCTTTTAATAAATTTATCTAATAATGATGATGAAGATTATCTTCACATTTATTAGAGTAAATTTTTACCACAAAGTTCTATTGGAAAATATATTAGGGAAGTAATTTCAGCAATTAATTAAGATGTATTAATTACTTGATAAATATTGCAATTAATATAAATATTTTATATCTAGACATTTATGTGACTATTTTAGATTATTGATTGAATCAAAATCGCTGATAGAGAAAAGAAACGTAAAGAATATAATCACCCATTAGATGATTATGAAAAAAAAAAGATTGTAGATTATGATAATAGAATGGCAAATGTGTTTATTTACGCATACGTGTTGTATTTACGCATATGTGCGCATTTATTTGTATGTATAAATATGTATAAATACTAACACGCATACTTCAATCGAAATTAGAAAGAATAAAAACATCAAATTTGAAAGCGGTAAAGATCATTTCAGTTATTTCCTTGACTTTCCAATGAAAGCTAAATTTAACAATTGATTAAATTAAATTCTACATACAGTAAGGAATTATGGAATTATGTTTTGTTGTCATCACGCAGTAAATAAATAAATAAATATATTGATTTTTTTTTTCGTTAAATAAATATTTTTGAATTTATTAGATAGATATTTTCTCAAAAAATTGTTAGTACATGTACTACTAATGTTCACGTTATGATCATTGCTAAATTTAGACTATCTCTCGAACATCATATCTAAATTTGGCAGTAAAGAATTTTAAAACCAAAAATCAGGTGACCCATTTGTTAAGAGTATGACGTACAATAGTATATTTTGCCATCATAATTTTTGATCCGACCCAACCCGCTTATTGTTAAAATGGGAGGAATACCCCTTTTGAGGTTATTCCAAAAATTTTTTTACCCCACTTTAATGAGGCACTCACACGGAAACCTTTAGTAAAAGGCGAAAGGTTTATACGATCTGCAAGTACCTCGTGGGAATGTAGAAATAAATCTATCGAAATTAATGTTTTATTTATTACAATTGCAGATTAATTTGATAATTATGGGATTTTTATCCGTGTGTAACACCATAATGATATTGTACAATAAAATCAGGGAATTGTTATTCGCACCCCTCCCGTGACTAAGTGTAGTAATGTGACCAATGAATGGCTTTAAAATGTGATGATT